TATAAAAAAGATTTAGCAGGGCCTGTTGCAACAGGACAAGGGGGAATGGCTTTAACCTAAAGGGGGGTAGATTTAGACTAGATATAAGGAAGACATTTTTTACGCTGAGGGTGGTGAAGCACTGGAACAGGTTGCCCAGAGAGGTGGTGGATGCCCCATCCCTGGAAACATTCCAGGTCAGGTTGGACGGGGCTCTGAGCAACCTGATCGAGTTGAAGATGTCCCTGCCCACGGCGGGGGGGGGTTGGACTAGGTGACCTTTAGAGGTCCCTTCCAACCCAAACTATTCTATGATTCTGTATTTTTCCAGCTAATTCTGATGACTTCCTAGTAACTTGTACCTTCAGCCTGTTTTGAAAGCTAATTCTATTAAACACTGCACTGGTTGTTAGGTGACTGCTCTGATTTTCTGCTATACTTTTCTTTCTGAAATGCAAGATGCAAACTAACTCGTTTCTAGAAACCCTTACCCTCCAAAGTCAGAACATTAGAATTAGAAAACTAAAGGTTTCAATAATGGAATTTCCTTTACTGTTAACTGATTTAGACCTCACCTCCTTGTTACTTACTTTATAGTTCACAAATAAGTACCTTTTCTTTCTGAATACCTTTGTTCTATACAAATCATGCTTACCATCTGACTGCTTCAGCTGCTGTACTTCAGGAAGAAATTCCAAGATAAACTGCTACCCCCAATCCTGTAATCTTTCACGTTTAATTTATTTACAGCTAGTAGCAACTTGTATTCCTTGTAGCCACTGAAATGTCTGTACATTAAAAAAAATCCTGATTTTAGTAAATGTGTGCAGCAACAAAGGTGCCAAAGTTCATTGCCCACTTTACAAAAAGAGTCGTAACACATTCTGCAAATACATCTATTTATTGACAGATCTCAAGCTTGTCTGAGACCATCCATCTAGAATATACATTTCAAAAGCGTATTTGTACATCAAAGACAGGTACAGTAATAACACTTCATTAGCAAGATTACAAGTTAACATCTTGATTTGGTTAGTCATCAAGATTCAGATTTACAGGAAAGTCCTAGGTATTTACATTCAGTAGGACCTCCAGTCAGTGGGGGTGAAGGAAGGTTTGTCTCACATGAAGTTCCTGTTTGTGAGGACCACACCAGGAGAATGTGACTTACGTAAGCTGATTCACAATGTGATCAACTATTTGTAGCCCAAAGTCACCTGAATCTTTTTGTTGCTCCATAGCACAGATCCACCAGCCACCACCTGACCTGCTTTATTTCTTTGTCACAGTAAAACTGTTCCTGCTTCCCCTGTATTTGCATTTGCTTATATCATACTACTGACCTCCTATGACTTGTCCTGTAGCACTCAATGCAGTGGTCTCTGCATCCAGTTGGAAGTGACCATTTTTACTCCATTTCAGCTCTTTGGTAATCCAGAATTACTTTTCCACAATGCTGTCCTCACTCCATCATGTATGAAGTAAGGTTGAGGCCCACCTCTGCAAAGCTCTGATTAAGGTTCATGAGACACCTTTCTCTAGACATCAGAAGAAAATACTGCTACCGTTTTCCTAGTGAATCACCCTCCTGCTCAAGGACGCCCATCCGCTTCTGTACCGATACCAGCCACTATCAGACTACCCTGCAGCCAATGAAAGGAAACAACCCTCTAGCCTCTACCACTATTCCAACAACCCGCTTGCCCTACAACCCTGAAAGCACTGCAGCATCCCTCAGCTTGCATGCCCTGTGGGATTTCAAAGGGGGTCCAAACACCCAGTCAGGAGTATGCCACGATCCACAGGAAGGTATATGCCAAAGCTGACCTGGCTCCAACTCACCCTGGCTAGGTCCACATCCTCCCATCCCTTTGGGTGAAGGATTCTGCTCAGACAGCAGTTGCTACAGGCTCCCATAACAATATTGTTCGCTCTTACATCTCACAGAAGAGCAATTACAGGCATATAGTAGAGTGTGGCTTTTATGAGCTTTATGCAAAGGCCCTGAAGGTAACAAACAACAAAAACAAGGCGGCACTTAAAGACAGATATTTTAAACTACAGATACTACTGCTGGCCACTTGCAACAATCTGTTTCTACGACATAGTTTTACCTTTACGTGGCTTTTTAATACTGATTTTTTGACCCGTTCTGCCTCCGGCCTATCACTGCTCTACCCAGTCTTGTCCCACCTGCCTTCATCCAACTTTGAGACAGTCTGGCTCCTGTCCATCTGATCATTGCCTTCCAACAAAGACAAACCAAGCCGCTTTGACAAATGGCTTTTATTCACAGGCCAACACTGAAGCGAGAGAAATTTAAAAAAAATTTCTGGTAAATCATGAGACGGGCACCAAGCCTTGCATTCTCCACATTACTATGCAATGGGGCTCACTGTGAAGTAGTACAGTCTGGAGGTGGCATCTGACCCGACATTCCTATTTTCCCTTGGGGCAGCAGTTGAACCACAGAGAGGACGGGCAAGTCACTCAGACTCACACACACAATGTAATAGGACTATGACCTACTCAGCTGCACGTGTATCATCATATTCTCTGGCAGACCAGGTCATCTAATCTGTGGCACCGGATTGGCCAAACAGCGCAGTACATGACTTGCTTCAAATAGCAGAAATACACACCTGAACCTGGGCCAGCACCTCCGACGCCACACTGTGCTAGCTGAACCATTCATACACGCTGGCAGCTCAAGTGTTTTTAGAGTCAAATTGTCAGCTGATTACTGCCACTGTACTTACAAGAACCACCCCTGCTCTGTGCTGCAATGGAAGCAAATAACCTGAAGGAGCTGCCAGTAAATACTGGAACAAGCACTGAACAAAATAATAACTTCCTCATGTAGCTACTTATATCCCACATTTGGAACTTACCATCTTTGCTCATCTCCTGGGCAGTTAACTTTCTGCACTTGCACTTCTGTTCAAACCAGTTTAGCTGCTTAGATGTCCACATGCAAACTTTGGGAACTGAGATGAGATCCAGACCATCTCCTCAATTAACTTACAAGATAACATTAAAAACAAAAAACCCCACACACCAAGGGAGTCATGGGTTGTGCATTCCCAAAGGATCACGAGAATTCAGCTAGATTGCTAATGCTAACACCAAAATTAGGGAGAATGTTTTTCTCAAGTCAACCAGCTCTGAATAAGGGCAACTGATGTGTAAGCAAGCAGGCAGGACACAGATATGACCATTTCTACTAGCTAACAGTAACTTACTACTTTTGACTAGTCATGGGTAGACAGACACAAACAGCTAAGATGGAGTAGCAGAAAACTGTAGGGAATAAATTCAAGATGTTCTAATTCATGCACAGCACATATGCACCAGCCTGAATGAAGAAGTCGAGTTTCAGCCTATACTGAGGGGTGACCTACTTCAAGTATCTCCTCTTGGGAACAGGAGATCAAGAGTATGACCAAAAGCCGGGTACACAGCAACACTCAATCATAACTTGAGTTCATTTGGTCATGAAGACAAGCCCTTAAGCATTTAGTTCCAATTTAAATCACAAGTTATATATACAGGTTAATTGAACCACTTCCACATTTAATTTAAACAAAATAGGTTTTATCAGAAAGTTACACAAACCCCAAAAGCTTTATTTTTCAAAACCATACTTTATTTTTAAAGGCTAAGAGAAGTATTCAGAACTATATTTCTTAAGCAAAAAGATTCACATTTCATTCTGCAGGGTCATTAGTTTGAGAAAAAGCATTTGGGGATTTATTTTTTGCAACTGTTGTTGAGTACCTACACCAATCCAGATTTATTTAAAAATGGTAACATCAGTTATGGCTTAAGATACAGAATTACAAAAGAGTAACACAAATGTTGAGACTCAAGTGGTGAACAGGTAACTATGGTTGCTTTTCCACAGAAAGATAATGTTTTAGCTAAGACAAACAGAAGCAACAACTGGCTTTATTGGTAGACAAATCAACTGAACGTCATCAGCACAGACACTGCTTCAAGGATACCCATGCTGTTAATCCACAAGTGTTAGAAGAATGTTCTGTCTGCTCCAATTACTTCACCTTTTCCTCTGTATCACAAGCCTCAAAAACATGGAAGTATGAAACCACGACAACAGCTTTTTGTTTTGTTTTTGGTGGTTTTTTTTTGTTGGTTTTTTTTTTTAAAGAAAAGGATACAAGAAAAGATGGAAGACTACAGTATGCGGTGAAGGAATAGTCATCACCTCTAAAGAGACAGCAGGACTTTGGCCAAGAAATTTTAATCAGTAAGCATGTAAGGACTCAAACCGACTCAGAACCCAGAGCTGCAATTTTGTTGGGTATTCTCCCCTTCACTGATTTGTAACTCTGCATTTACATGTTCTGGATGGCTTGCATTCATTGGGACAGAGGTAGCGATGGGAACAAGATTCCTTCCCTAAAGTTTCCAAATAGATGAAACCTGGTAAGCATGGCCCCAAGGAAGGGCGAGTGCAACCAGCTGAGGACCTGCCAACTGGGAAAGGACAAGAGCACAAGCACAGACAGTAAGCTGCTCTCCCATACCCAGACTGATAAATAAAATGTTACATAAAGGTGCTGGACAAGAATTGAGCAAGTAACAAAACCTCTGTGGCCTCTGCAATATGTACTTCATGCCAGGTTGTGCAAAGGATAGGACTGTACCTTTGCTGCACAGTTGTGGTGATCAAAATATTACATTATTTGCAGTACTGCCAGAAGTTCCAGTGTGTAACTAGCTAGCATGGTTATACTGATAATTTTAATAGCTATATAAAGTCAGTCACCCATTTAAAAAAAAACATAAGGACTTGTATTTGCAGATAATTCCTTTATCCAGTTAATTCTTCAGACTTGTCCCACCTTTTCTATTTGGGACTAGGCCAACTTTTCTGTCCTAAGGGGATTAAGACAGACTTCAACTGTTAAAGTTCCTTCCTCTTTGCTCACTGAGAGTAATTAAAAAAAAAAAAAATCCAAAATAACACAACAGCAGGTCATTCAAAGGAAACTGTCTGTAGTACTTACAATAAAAGGTTGCAACTCTTGGACAAGGAGGGATGGTTTAAACTAGGTCATCTGAATATAATTTGAGTGCTATAAACCAATCATCAAATAAAGTCAACGCTTGGGGCTAGAAAGCAGTTCTCCTTAGAACACCCCGTTTCTCCTCTTAAGAAGATCAGAGGTACAATGGTTTGTTTTATTGCAACACTGGTTAGCCAAATCCAATCCTTCCCATTCAGATATGATTTTTAAGAACCAGGGATATTATGGTTTACTGCCAAATTTGGCAGACAATTTACTGATGAGATTCATGACCTTCGGATTGTTCTGGTACTTGGACATATTTGCTGGGTTCTGGGCAACATCTTGGAATGCAGCCATAACTTCTGGATCCTGCAGGGCAAAAAGCAAAAAAATTAGGGCATTTATAAAACAAGTCTGCAAAAGTTAGTGGTTATGTGGTTCCAACATGAATCTAGTCTTGCTCAGCTTTTCACACGACAAGACTAGATTAGAGTTTTGGGCAAGAGGTCTCTAAAGAGAACCCAATGATATAGTGCATGCTGCTAACGCTGCATCAGTAAACACCAGAGTCATTACTGAACTTGTTATAGTAATAGCGCAACGTGTGAGAAGGAGGATAAGATAAAGAGTTCTTTTTCCCCAAAACAGGAGCCATCAAACACAGCCACACCTACTGGATTATTTCTATTCAGGCATCTTCAAATGCACTTTGAAGGAGGCAGGAGCTCTATGTGCGTAGCACACGATAGGATAACCCTCCTCCAAGCAATAGCTGTTACTCATCCCTTTCACCTCTGTTCCTTCTAGCAGCAGAAACTTTAATCTGCTAGACTGTGAGCAGATGATGTGGCAGCGTTTGGCTTTTAAAAATGCATCTAATTCTCAGTCCTCTGAGAAATCACAACTGGAAGAGAACCTTGTATCTCTCATCACACTACTGTGTTGCAGTTAATAAATACATTCACATATACATTAAAGTCAGTGGTCAAAAGAATACCAACTTCATCTTCTGTATTTAGTATGAGAAGCATTAATACTTTTTTCTGTACTTCTAGTACACCTTTGGCCTCCACTAAACTAGAATTGTTTTACTCATTTTACATGTGCATGTTTTGAACAGTGCCCTTTAATAAATCTGTATAGACTGATTTTATATCTCAGCCTGGAAAAAGGTTTCCATTATAAGCAACTTCTGCAAAGATTCAAGTTTTCTTTAATCCAGCTAAAGTGCAAGCAGTTTATTATGTCCAATACAAATCATCTGCATCAGCTGTTCTTTCTAGCACGTTTAAGTAGTTTCATTGAAAGATACAACCTTCCCTAAACTTCAAGCCCATTGCTACCGCAGATGTATTCTTTGGAAACAGTCAAAAACCAACTGGTGTTCTCGGAGCTGTCTGTGCTACTACACCACCACCCTGTATCTATTCTAGCATCAGAGACAAAAGCTGTTTAACAAGTCTGATCCAAAATTGCATTTGGTAGGTGTGGACTCCACTGAAGTAACCCACATGGTTCAGTCATGTTTTATACATGTTGGGAACCAAGAGTCAAGTCTTATCTTTTGTTAGAAGGATTTACAAGTGTTTTGTCTCCCTCACAAATGGAAATCTGCAAAGTCTATGAAAAATAGGATGTTGAAGTTCAGAAAACAGACACTAGATATATTTTCTCCACTTTACAGGATTCCTATGCAAATAAAAAAAGACGACTTTCACAACCTCAAACTTCTTGAATTTCTGATTTCAAAATAGGCCACGTGACTATAAAGATCGTGTTGTGTTGTTAAATCTGTGTTTTCATCTGTATATGAATACAGAACAAAAAGCTGAGTAAGCTTAGTCACTGGTTTGTGTCAAAGCACACCTAAATGAATGTTAAATATCCAAATTTTATGCTACGTGTTTTATGGTCCTATAAATTCACAGCAAGTAAATTATTATAAACTGGAAGCCCTCAACCTTAGACTGTGTTTATAAAAATCTTTAACACATCCAAGGTTTCGCATTGGTGAGCAATATTATCAGAATAAAGTTTAAGACTGAAGATAACATTTCCATAGGGAAATATTTAGTACATAAGGTGGAATGGAAACCATTGTGTAAACAGTATTAGTGAAACATTCAGTTTTCTAATGCTCTAGTCTTTAGTTGCAGACGGATGAAAAATACTTCTAAGGAAAAAGTTATCACTATTTTTTTTCCAACTTACACATTTTGGTGGAAGTCTGGGTCTAACATATGACTACATGTCAAATAAGGAATCCATAGGTTCATCTTACACATCACTCCTTTTAAAAAGAACTTATATTTGACCCATGACAGCTCTCCAAAACACAGATGTCATGTTGTGTCCGGAGAAAGCAATTGCACATGCGAGTTAGGAAGTACTGCAGAACCCTCCAGATAGCCAAAATAGTAAAATAAGAGAAACACACACACAAAAATTTCAGCCAAGTCTTCTGGAGACTAAAAAGCTTAGGGGCAAATGAGCTAAAATAACATGTATAGAAGTCATTGCAAAAGGTCACAACTACTACCGCTAAGAAGCTATGAAAAGAAACGCAACAGAAGTTTTGCCCCTTTGAGTCTTTTATGTGTAAAAGACTAGTATCAGCCACAAATAAAAAAAAAAAAAAAAAAAAGAAAAAGAAAGAAAGAAAAAAGGAAATATCCTGAAGACAATAATGGAACCAGAAATCTTCATCAAGAAAGAAGTTTTTGTACTAGTTTGCAGAGATTCTTATCTTTATGCCAATGACAAGCAATAACTTCCATAAATATGTCCATAGGCAGCCATATCTGGTTCTTTGGCTGCTTCTACAGATGACAAGCTGAAGTTGACAGCGTAACCAGTTTAATCTAGCTCATGTTCGGGCACACACAGTTCTAAGGTTTACCAAGACATTAACAGACTCAGGCATATTTCAATGTTAGCTCATGAAGAATAGTCTCAAAGATGATGAGATGCTAGTCACTAAGTCGAAAGAGACTGAGAAGAAGGTCTTTACTCTCAGAATACTCCAGTTTCAGCAGTAACTCCTCACTATGAAAAGCCTCTACATACTGTCAGTTAAAATAGTATCTTAAGATTAATGATTTGGGAGAGACTTGTGTGATTCAGTATCTTCAGACTTTTTTTTGTAACACCTCAGGTAACCTATGTAATAGCTGCCAGCTACCATTATCCCTCAACATATTCCATAGCTGCACTGAGCAGAAGCCAAGCAGTAGAAACTACTGCCTTTTAAGACCAGAGTTTACACTGCCAATTCAGAGAGGACCAGAACATAGTCAGTCAGACATTTTAGGAAAAGAAGGCAGTGCAGACATAGGGGAAATGCTGAATAAATCATATCTAGATGTAAAGTTTGTACAAAGAGATCAGCAAGAGACTCAAGGCTTTGCTGACAGGTTCTACATGTTAAAGCCTGCCTTCATTATCAGAAAACACTGTCACACACACTCTTGCAACAGAGTCCTACACTATGTTGGGGTATGTATAATCAGCATGCAATGGAGTCTTCTTAAAGGCATGTGGCAAGCGCTTAATATTTAGCTGCACCTCAAAGCTGTGTTTTCAGCAACTCTAATTTCAAACTCCTGTATTACAGCATAAATTAGCCAGGTAATGAATACAACTATGAATGCAAGTAATGGGTTTTTTTTGGATGGTTTGGATGCAAGTCAACATTGCTGACTGTGGCAGCCTAAGTAAAAGTGTGTTTCCAACTGCCAGAAACCGTTAAGGGAACCCTTGAACTTTTGCATGGAAAGTGATGCCTTTTTTGTGATTTCAGGGCATACCAAATAAGGGTCCCTTATGATGCTTTTATTTAGATGGGGATCATAGCTGTTCAATGAGCTGAGAATAACACGTAACTCTAGTTTAACCACAGCAGTCCAGAAAAAGTAACACAACACTTTTGTACTTGATCATATTAGTATGCAAATATAACTATATAGCTCAGATTTTTCCTAGCCCACCTGCCCCTAAAACTGATGTTGTCAGATAAGTTCTATTTAATCTGCTGGAATATTTTTCTTGTGTAAAAGTAGTCATGACATTGAGCAATTAATCAAGCCCACTGGGGAAGTAAGCTTTCTGAACATGAATTTAGAAAATGCCAGATGCAGAACTATTCTGATACTACTTTGCCTTTAGCAAAAACCAAACACTTAATCCCCTAAATAGAAAGGCAATTCTCATCTCAATATTATTGTAATATATTGTGTTGCAACAATACTAACAATCATTTTTTGTTTGTGCATAATTATCTTGCCACAGTGTGTGCACATTCAAAAAGGAGCAATTAAATTATACCATGTGGAAAACAACCATTCAGGAGACTCAAGAGATGAAGAACTCTATATAGCACATAGTTTTGCCTATCATAGGCGAGAATGGGGCAGGGGGGGCACCTTTAATTAAGCTCCCCATCAGTTGAAAAATAGCTAACATTGATTCCAGACAGCCTGGTGCCACACACACAAGGAGAGAATTTCACAACAGAAATAAGCAAGCATCCCATTGCTATCCAGAAGATGACATCTTAGCTCATGGGTGCTGTTCTTCCCTCAGTCAGAACATTTAGCTTTGATTTTAACAAATACTCACCTGCATGGCCGCAAGGACTTCTGGATCACTGAGAATCTCATTGAGACCTGGCATACCTGCCATTCCTGGCATACCTCCAGGCATAGCCCCAGGAAATCCACCTGCAAACCCAAGACAAGAAGAATGCATGATGACAAACATTTAATTCATCTATACAGGAGGCTCACTGAGAGAGACCAAGACATACTTCCTTTGCCACACCTCTAAAGCCATGTCTTCCATAAGGCTACAGCTGCTCCTCTGAATGGAAAGCAGGGTCTTTGCCTTCTCTTTGTGCGAAGACATACATCTTATTTCATCCATGTTTTTAACCCAATTGAATAGGAGGCTTGTAATGAGTGTCAGATTCTAGCACCTTGTACACAGATGCAGTTACTTTTCTGGTGAACTTAAATCAGGCAGGTTTCAAGCCCAGGAACACAAGGAGTTTGAATGCTTGGGGTGAACAATTCAGGGCAAAAGCAGATCAGTAGTAGTATGTCCCAGGCACATTCTACATTTGGCGGGAACTTCAGGGTTGAAGAAATTGTACCACCAAAGAAAAAAAAAAATCCCTGAAGCAAAATGCTTGAGCTTCCGTTTTTGAATCCTTAATCAGCAGCCACCCCAGTTGTGCTGAGCAGGGTAGATATGGTCTCTCTTTGGTTCCCCTGACAAGCTGATCCAGTTGGAGCATGCACACAGCCTACCTCAGCCACGTCTCAATCTTCAAGAGCATTAGTACTTACTCTTGTTTCTCCCCAATTTATTGTACCCAAAAATAACATGGAAAGCCTGATTTTCGTGGAACTGTTCAAGGATAGCTTTTCTATAAGGTAAACTGCACAACCCCCTTTGAGAAACTATTCTGTTCAACAATAGCTTGCAATCAGCACAGATTTCCCCAATATTCAATCCAAATTTTCAACTTTAGAACTATTGTTCTTAAGCAGAATGGGTCCAAGGCACCCTGGGTAATTTAAAAAACATTTTATACTAGTTTTTCAGCACATATTATTAAGCAAACACTGCACCTTTGTTGTTTTCTCAGACCTAAATCCTTTCATTCCGTTACCCATCATTACTGATTTCTGTCTTCCCTCTACTTGCTACCCAGCATCAATCCTCTTTAAAAGAAAGAATCCCATCCCTCTTCCCGCTATTGCTCAAAGAGTTATTTGTAGACAAGTTGTAAACTTCAAGTATTTTCCTCTCTGTCTTGAGAACAAATGCTATAAAAACTGTGGTTATAATACTCCACACGGAAACATATAAAGATATAAAACTCCAGTCACCTCTACCTCAAGTATTGGTGCTTAAAAATAAAATACCTGGGAAGCCGCCTGGGAAACCACCAAACTGAGCTCCTCCTGCCTGTCGTCTTGCTTCTTCCTCCTGCAGATGAAAGCACATCATTCCACACAAAGCAATGGAACTACAGCCTGTTTCCTACGGCTCAACTCGTTTTAGGAGAAAAAAAATAGCTGAGACTGTTTCAGCCAGGTGGGCTATCGCAATAAACAAACAAAGCACTTCACTATTTCTTGCCGGTGGTTTTGTACGTAGTGATGTCTACTCTTACTTTAGTATGTTTTTGTGGGTAAGTTATGCAGAGTATGTTTTTACTGAATACCATAAATCATAGAATAGAGGTTGGAAGGGACCTCAATGATCATCTGGTCCAACCCTTCTTGGCAAAAAGCACAGTCTAGACAAGATGGCCCAGCACCCTGTTCACCTGAATCTTAGAAGTGTCCAATGTTGTGGAATCCACCACTTCCCTGGGGAGATTATTCCAATGGCTGATTGTTCTCATTGTGAAAAATTTTCCTCGTGTCCAATCGGAATCTCCCCAGGAGTAACTTGTACCCATTACCCCTCATCTTTTCCATGTGACTCCTTGTAAAAAGGGAGTCTCCATCTTCTTTGTAGCCACCCTTTAAAGACTGGAACATGGTGATAAGGTCTCCCCTAAGCCTTCTTTTCTCAAGGCTGAACAAACCCAGTTCGCTCAGCCTTTCCTCATATGGCAGGCTTCCCAGTCCTTTGATCATCTTTGTGGCCCTTCTCTGGACCCTCTCCAGCCTGTCCACACCATTTTTGTATAGCGGGGACCAAAACTGAACGCAGTAGTCCAGGTGTGGCCTGACGAGTGCTGAGTAGAGTGGAATAATGACTTCTTTATCTCTGCTGGTGATGCAACCCAGCATCCTGTTGGCTCTCTTTGCCACAGCAGCACACTGTTCACTCATACTAAGCTTGTTGTCCACCAGGACCCCCAGGTCCCTTTCCACAGTGAAAATATGAACTGTATGATTTGTTTTAGCTCCTCAATTTACATTTTTAGAACTAACTCCCACCCCCAACATATTAAAATATATCAGTAAAGCATAAGGAAAAAGCAAGCAAACTGTGCCAGGAAGTGAGGAAGAGAAGCAAAGTAGCAAATTTGAATTTAAAACCTCCCACTTCGGGAGACGTAAGTACTTTAAGTGAAAACTATTCTGGTACAGTCATACAACAAGTGACTTCTAGAAATACAGGATGAGTAGAGATTCCTGAGCCTATTTTTCTCATAAGCAATAAAAGCAGATGCAGTACAATGCCCTCTTCTCAAGATTTATTATTGGACAAGTAACCAAGACAGAAATCAACTCTCTAAAATTTAATTCTAAGACTTAAAGTAATTCTTCTCTGCAATTCCTTTTAAGCAAAATAACTATGATGCTCTCCAAACTATTAAGAAATATTGAAGTCTAAGTATTCACCCTTTGTGCTCTCTCATGCTCCTCCCGTGCCTTCTTCACTCTCTCCATTCTTTCTTTGATTTCCTTTTCTTCACGCTTCCGCTCATATTTTCGGCGATGTTCTGCAATTTTCTGAGCCTGTTACAATAGAATACCAAGATTTCATACACACTTCTAGCATACCACAAAATATATTTCAATACAAAATAGATGTAAGCGTAACCATCTCCTTTTACCAGTTCTTAAAAATAAGATTTGACTTCACATCCTAAAAGCCCCTTTGTTTTAGGAGCCATTTGCTACTTCCTCTCTATGGCAATCAGTTATTCATGTCTAATAGGCCCTAATTGGATTCACCAGAACGTGCACTCTAGTATACTGATTTGCTATAGAGCTCTGGGACTTGCACCATAGTTAGAACTTAAACACATTATCATTCCATGTCCCTTCATGCTTTTATGCTGAAATATTAATTTCTCCAGGGCTAAAACCAGCAACTGCCCCACAAAAGGGAATTTGCACTGGCACAACAATAGGAAGTGTAATTCCCTCTGCACACAGACACATTTTAGCTAGTGTTATTGCTGTTCCAGGTGCCTTTGCAGCATATACAGCTAGACATAAGCAGACCAAAGAATACCTGAACCAAACCAAGAAAGGGCTGGTGGGGACAAAGTTTGCTTCCTATTATTAGTTTAGTGTTTTCCTCAAGTCCATCAAATCTACAGCCCCAGCAGAGGAGAGTATTTAGCAATGAACTGCCCAAGGCCCCTCACTCAGGGCTCACTTTAACAACAGGACTGTAGCACCACTTTCCTGAAACCAGAACGTATCCTTATACAACACTGCAAAAAATGGTTCATAATTTCACAAATTGTATAGGATGGTTACCCTCTAACACTTCTGTAACTAAAAAACATAGCAAAATCAAGGTTCAAGAACAGAGATACTAACTACTACTACAATGCACCCTTTTCTATTTTTCAGACTACCCTTTAAACAAAGAAATGATTTTACAAGTAGTGAAGTTTCAATACAACTTATTTTAGCTAGGAGATATTTGTTCCATACCACATCATTCTTGAAGTACACCTGCCAGAGAAAGCACACTGCAGGCAACAGGACTGACTAATATTGAATGCAGTACGAGTTATGAGAACCTGATGTTATGGCCATTAAATAGTTCACTAAGAGAGATGTAAGTTGTGGTGGGTTTTTTTTTTTAACAAAACATAAGAGTTTCCAAAGTTTTAAGTTTCACTGTTTCTAAGTATTTCTCTAAATGAACTAAGCATTTTTAGAATTAACAGACTTTCAGGTGAAAGTGCTACAAATTAAAAAGTGCTAGAAAAGCTGGAAGTGAATAAATTAGGTGCACGTATCATCTTCACTTATTAAAGATAAAAAAATCACCCATGAAAAATCATACATTTTTCCTTGAGCTACATATACAAATTCGCCCACAGTTGGCAAGTACACCTCAGTGTATTACAGGCATACTCTGCTGTTTCTGTGCATGGGCGGATTAACTGGGAAATAAAAAGTTCCCCCTCAGCCAAGCATTAAGTGTACCTCTTATAAAAAAGGTTGAGATCTAAGACCTAATTAGATTTACCACAGATCAATAGTCTCCAACACAGAAGACTAATAGATTATAAGATGGTTTCAATCGCTGTTTTGCTGGAGACAGTATCTTTTACAAAGGTGTGGTAGTAAAACTGAAAGCTGAAGTCATTAGACACAGGAATGTTTATGCATGTGGTGGGTTAACCTTGGCTGGCTGACAGATGCACTCACTAAGCCGCTCTCTCACTCCCCCTCCTCAACAGGACAGGGAGAGAAAATAAGATGGAGAAGCTCCTGGGTTGCGATAAAGACAGGGAGATCACTCATCCACTACCATCATGGGCAAAACAGACTCAACATGGGGAAGATTAATTTAATTTATTGCCAATTAAAAAGAGTACGATGATACGAAACAAAGACAAAACTAAAACCACCTTCCCCCCACTCCCCTTCTTCCCAAAGCTCAACTTCACTCCTTCGTTTCCCACTCTTCCACCTCGTCCCCCGACCCCGAGCAGCACAGCGGGATGGGGGCTGTGGTCAGTTCTTAACACTGCACCTCTGCCACTCCCTCCTCCTCACACTTTTTTCCTGCTCCAGCGTGCCCGCCCCGGGACACAGTCCTTCACAGACTGCTCCAGTGTGGGTCCTTCCCATGGGCTGCAGTTCTTTAAGAACTGCTCCAGTGTGAGTCCTCTCGTCAGGGTACGGTCCTGAAGTAACAGACTGTTCCAGCACGTGTCCTCCATGGGCTGCAGCTCCTGCTAGAAAACCAGCTTCTACGTGGGCTCCTCTCCACGGGCCGCAGTTTCTGCCAGGAGCCTGCTCCAGTGTGGACTCTCCATGGGCTGCAGCTTCCTGCAGGGCATATCCCACTTGCTCTGGTGTGGGGTCCTTCATGGGCTGCAGGGTGGTTATCTGCTCCACCGTGGACCTCCATGGGTTCAAGGGGGACAATCTGCTTAACCATGGTCTTCTCCGTGGGCTGCAGAGGAATCTCTGCTCCTGTGCTTGGCACACCTCCTCCCCTTCTTCACTGATCTTGGTGTCTGCAGGGTTGCTTCTCTCATTTTTTTTTTTCTTTACTCCCCTCTCTCTCACAGCTGTTGTGCTGTGGTTTTTAACCCTTTCTTAAATATGTTATCACAGAAGCACCACCAGTGTCGCTGACTGGCTCAGTTTTGGCCAGCAGTGGGTCTGTTTTGGAGCCAGCTGGAACTGGCTCCATCTGACACAGGGGCAGCCGCATGTCTCTTCTTACAAGAGGCCAGCCCTGCAGTCTCCACCTCCCCCCAACTTTGCCACGTAAACCCAATACAATGCAACAGCTGCAATCTGTGGTCTATCAACCACTTTAAAAGAATATGCAAAACAGATGAAAAAGAAAGCCTGCTATCAACAGTCTTACACAAAAGTTCTTCCTTAGAAGAATGCTGGGGTCAATCACTTGAGAAAAGCTTAAAACCAGTTTTCCAGAGATTATGCTGCCCTCATGGGGTAGACTAATGAAAGTACAAATCACAACAAAAAATGCTTTTGTAAAACTTGTTTAGGATGAAGCTTTGATCAATTCAGAAACATTTTGGAAAAAAAAATCCATTATCACAGTGTTCTCTTGCTCTTCTGAATGTTTTTAGTCTAGATTCTAAAATGCCTGGCGAACTTCAACTACTTCAGATTCTTCTGTTAAGATTTTAAAAAGGAACATATTATTTCATAGTTCAGCTACATGCCCAGCCCCAGGGACTCACTTTCTCTACACACAGCCATAAACAGCTGTGATTGAAGACACAAAAGTATTTATAAACTCAGTTCCAAGTGTAAGATGACACACCTACACTTCCACATTCCCATAAGACAATGCATATTGGAAGAATATGAAGGCAAAAATGTCACTCAAACAGAGGAGGGACTTCCATTATGCCTCCCCACTTACTCTTGGTTGCACCTCCTTCAGCATGGCACTAGCATCTTCATCATAATCCAGTTTACAAGCTAATGCAAGATCATGAGCAGCCTCCTCCCAGTGACCCAGAAGTCTGGAATTCAGAAGACACCAACATTCAGACAGGAAAAGCAAACTGAACTCTTGTAGTTCTTCAGAATATTTACAACCATGCGGCATTCAGTATTTTTACCTGCAGCTATATGGACTTACAGAAGTTTAAAGTTTAATAATCATGGTGCTTTCTGTAACCTGCACACTACAATGCCATTACAGGATACTTGCTTGCTTCATGCCCTTACAATAATTTTTCCTTGAAGTAAAAATGAGGAAAAAAAACCCTCAATCAGCTAGTGTCAGTTTGCTATAAACAAGAAGAGTCTAACAGGGAGAAGATACCCTACCTAAACATGTGAAGCACACTAATAAAAATACTCTGCACCACTAGGCACATGTTCAAGTGTAAAACTACACATTCAGTGCTCTGTACAAGTCTACGCCACTACTACATCAAGCTTAAGCGGACCCTCTTTACACAGCACTCAAACGTCCTAGCTAACTGGATGCACCATGTCTTAGTTGAAGAGGTCATACAAGTTACTGCGCGCATTTCTTAACTATTCATTTATATAAACAAATAATCAAAAATTTAAGCAAATGGTGGTATTCCTAAGGGGTCAGAGCACTTCTGCTTACAGACAGAGGTATTAATCCAAACTATGCTCCAGTCTTCTCCCTCTTAGGATCCATGCCATTTATTAAAACTCTAGACATTAACAAACTACTCTCTGAACACTGTTTAAAATGCCTTTCACAAGTTCTATTAGCATTTACTCTTTCCACTTTTATATGGACTGTAAGAAGTGTCACGTTATTTTTTTTTTGGCTGATTTACTGTCATTAAAAAAAAAAAAGTTTAACTACAGTTGAGGGGGTACGCACACTGGCCTAATGCCATTTTAAATAATTACACTGTTTGCTTAATACCACTCTTCAATTGCAACAAATGGTTCCCTTAATAACTAGGCAGTTTAATTTACTATGTAAAAGAGCTCTAGGATGTAATGGAATAAGGGCAGCAGAGAAATGTTTAAGAATTATAGGTTAGTAAATAAAAACTGAACTAAGTGAAAACAAAAGACCTCCAAACAAATAAAACCCAGTCCTAGAACTCATAATCTTTAGCAAATGATTAGAAAATGCTATTCGGAACATCAGTAAGCCATTAGAAGATGTATTTAAAAAAAAAAAGGAGAGAGAAAAAAAGACAGTGCCAGAAGGACTACTCATAAATTAATATCAGTAAATCACCATCATCCTTTCTTTCCTGTAAGCCATACACTCAGCACAATGGTTTCTTGACTCACAACTACTGCTCTCAGGTACAAGACAGACAGTTCAGAGACATAGAGAAGGAGAGAATGCATAAACAAAACTGTTCCCCCCAAGTAAGTAAAGAGAATATCAAGTACAGGTGCAGTTCATTACCTATGTGCTTTTCCCCTCCATTTGTAGGTCTGTGCCGAGTCAGGATTAATCTTGATGGCTCTGTCACAATCTCTAATGGCAGCATTTGGCTTCTGTAGTTTCACAAAAACACTGTGGGAACAAGAACATTTATTGTACATATTGAAATACCAAGTTACTAACTTAAGCTGGAAATAATTTTGGATGACTAATAGGCAAGCTAGTGAGGTAATACATTTTAAGAGCTGAGTTCAAAAAGATTTCGTAGTGATAATGCAGTCACTGGAATTTAGTACCCCCCATTCCCCCCACCATTGTAGGTGAATCATTAGCAAGAAGCGAAAGCATTCATTGTTCAGATTGAAGCTTTGCCAGCAAGAATAACTTCAGTGCACAAGGAAAGGATACATAAATGCAAAGGAAAGTTCAATTCCATGGTGTTTGGAGTCTATAGCCTATAGTCTATAGCAACTAGACCATAGTCTATAGCAACTAGCAATTTGAACAAAACAACAATAATATTATACATGCCATATTGCATAGTCTTTAGAACAGTAAGACAAAGAAAGCACCAGTTATCATACAGGCTACAAGGATCAACAGCTAGAATGATCAGGAACTACAAAAGGAGATAGGAGATGAGTCATCAAAATTAAAAGAGGCAAAACAGAACACAAACCCAGAAAGTAGCCCCAATCCTTTGTCAGTTAAGTGAAATAACTGCAAATTTTATAATACACAAGCATACCACATTAACTAGTAGAGCAGCACGTTTAGGAGGTTCAGGCATTTCAAATCAAAAATCTCTGAAGGAAACACTAAAAAAACCCAAAACATCCCTGAATTGACAAAAGTATTTGATATTCAAGATACTCCAAGTCAGAACTTCGGCCTTTTTACATCTACTTGAAAAAAATTTATCAGCAATTATCAGCCTGTAAGTAACCTCATCATTAAGGCTAGTTATAAAGTAAGCACAAAGTCACACATTCTCTTCTAGAAACAAACAGGTGGACAATGTGTCAGGAAACTGTCCCGAAGCTACCTCTCACTGGCTGCTGGCTGCACAAAACCCCTAGTCTCCCAAACACACAATCCCCCCAGAACCAAAACACAAGTCCACCAGAGAGAGGTGGCTTACTCACAGCGCTTGATCAGCACTGCTGTTACACTGTATGTTTTACAATATCCTAATACATTGTTTGCTTATTTCTACAATAGACCAAATTGAGGTAACTTTTAAACTTCTCCTTACGCTCATATTTTTCATTGCTAATCCCAGTCCTGAGAAGATACGGCACTATAAGAGGTTTTAAAAATACTACTATGATGGCAACAACAACAACAGTGCATTAAGGTACAAAAGTGGTGTCACATGCAAAAACTTTGATATGGAAAGGAAAAAAGAGGAAGGCATGTACCAGTTAAGATGTACTGGAATGGAACAGTTAAAGGACACTAATCACAGGAAAGTCATCAGAAGTTGAACATTTCTGTGAATTATACCTTGCTATGGAAAAGATCCACTAAACTATCAAATCATCCATAGTTAGTGGGTTTTTTGTGTATAAGGAGAAAAAAAAAAAAATCCATGAGAACTTGTACTTCTGCAACCCACACTTGCCCAGCCTTCCTCAAGAATTAGGAAGAGAAAAATGTTCGTGCATTATGAAGTTAGGGCTACCACACATCAAATCTGACAATGTTCCCAATGCATTATCTGCAGTCTGGTAGATGTAATTAGCAGTAAGGTGGGTATTGAATGGGTTCAGAAATAGGTATGTCCTGTTCAAATGTAGGATCGTTGTCTAGAAACGAGTCTACTTCACAGTGAAAGAATTCATTTCGCAGGTGCAACACGGAGAGAATTCACATGATCCACAATTAACTTTGCATCTAAACAGGACATGGTTTCAATCATTATCTTAATCCTAGAAGAAACTTCAGCTTTTGCAAGTGTGTGCCATCCAGCATTATTCTAACTCAACATACCAAAAGGCTTATTACCACAATGCATTTTGGAACATCATTCTGTTACTTACTCAATATATTATCAAGATTCTTTAGATGGCTGCTTCAGCAAATCTGGTTAATCATATATAAGAGAAAATGCACGAAGTGTACTTTTCTCTTTCCCTCATGTGGTTTAAGTTTACATAGATCCTCAAGTTGCCATTATATTTATGTTCCTTAAGGAAAATAACAGAACAGGCAGAAACATAAATCATTAGTTTATAATGATTCACCTTGCCCTCTTGGCGTACAAGATGGCCAAACAAGGATTCAGCTTGATAGCATCTGTGAACAAGTCGACAGCCTTCTGAAGTTCACCTGAGTACCAATAAAGTTTCAATCATTATGCAATGAAATTACATCCAAATTGCCAAACCTGCCTTACAGGTTTTTATGTCCCTAGGCACTTCTTAAACGGAACATTATCAACAAAGGAAAATCAGTTGCTCCCTCTTGCTACGTTACTGAAGTACAAACTTGAAAATTAATGTTGGAGGGGAGGAGAGACTTTTCCCAGTTAAATTTGTACATTTAACTTTGTGTGCAATCAAATAGGAAGTCACCTCTTCATTACCCAGCTTTTCACTGCATTAAGACAAATTGCTAGAGACACTAATCATAATATGTACGGAAGCACTATAACGAACACTTTGTAATTAAGATGCTTCAGTACCTCACTCCCCCCTGCCCTGCCCAAAACTATAGCTACATTGGGAAGACAGCACTTAAAGAAGTTTTCATGTTGTAGATAGTTTTGGGTATACAACAGGAAGTGAGTTTTCTCTTCCTTGAAAGCATTCAAAATGTTCCAAGATATTTACTTCCTTTTTTTAAAAGGAGAACCGAACCTAATGTCCTTGAATATGTACTAAAAAACAATTTATCACCTTCACTTAGAGCATTTATCGCTTCAATCTTCTTCTCATTAGCTTGATCCATCATCTCTTCAGTTACCTAAGAAAATAAAGAAAATGAAAAAAACCACACAAACCCCAAAAGCTGTAGAGTCCAGGACAGAATTACCATGCTAAGACAGTGCCAAAGAAGGGAGCTCCAGTTTTCTGATTCCAGAATCTTGCTTTTAATTTGCATTGAAATCATAGTTCAAAAAAATTAACTTTTTGCTTTCCGCTTGGAGACATTAGCCACCATTATTTTTAGCTAGAAAACGCTCAAAAGAGAAGTTGAATAATGGCAGATTTCTATGTATCTAGTTTTCACAGGTGTTGTGATAATTTTTTTTGGTGTTTTGTGACCTGATTTTCCTCACTGAACTTTTTGATGGACTCTGACCTTGAATAAGAAAAGACTGTGGTTTTAAGCCAGTAAGTTTTCTATTTAGGAGAAAAAGAGCCAAAGCAACAGCTGGCTACCTAGCTAATATAGTACTCATGCCCCCTCAGCTGCTATCTTTGACTAAACTCAAAACCTCTCCCCTACCTTTCCTACTGCCAGAGACATTGAAAATGGTGTGCTTACCTCCACATTTTCATCTCCCATTTCTTGAGGGTCATCACTGTCTGGTTCAATCACTCCCTCATTGTCAATTTCTGGGGGAAAAAACAAAACGCAAGATTAAGCTCCATCTACAAACAGAGAAAGGATTTCCAGAAGCATGTTCAAATTGGTAAAACATGATAAAGTCATCTATTTTCCACACCTAAGTCGCTCTCTTCACTTTCTGGTTCAGGTGATTTAACTGGCTCCTCTGGCTGTTCCTCTGCTTTGCCCTGAAAGAGAAATGTATTTGTAAGCATACATTATTTCTGACTGATATTCTATTCCCACTCTAATAAATAACAATGCATCAGAAAATCCAAAATTAATCTTCAGAGCATCAGATTGCTCTACAGCTAAATTGTTTAATTTTTAAGATACAAATCTCCTTTTTCCTCCTCTCAGAATAAGTCTATCATGCATGCAAATAATTCAGACCCCAAATTTTGATGCATGAACTTCTATTATTGGTAAACCCTGTCCTTCAAATTGTGTAATTCAATAATAAAACCAAATAATCCAGATAATACCCAATTCAGAACCAGTTTTGCAACTAACCAACCCTTCCCATCTTCCTGCCTTCCCTCACACATTCCCTGGATCAAAAATTCTCTCAATCTAATACTAGTAAGCTAAGGACCTTTAGCAGTGAACAATAAGCTGGTGTCAACGATCAAAATATTGTTTCCATTTGCCAAGGTCAGAGATCTTTGCCACTTATACATACTTAGAATGTTTTTTCAAATGTTTTCCTATCAGCTTCTAACTACATTACTAATTTCCTCTGAATCCCATAACTTAGCATGTCCTGCTTTATCACAGACATAAGCTGCTTGTTTTCACATTCAGTGTCACAGACTATACTCACTACATATACACAATCCCTCCATACAGTTCTAACAAGGCAGTAATTCCAGATGTTTTCCTATCAGCTTCTAACTACATTACTAATTTCCTCTGAATCCCATAACTTAGCATGTCCTGCTTTATCACAGACATAAGCTGCTTGTTTTCACATTCAGTGTCACAGACTATACTCACTACATATACACAATCCCTCCATACAGTTCTAACTAGCCAGTAATTCCAGCATCCACTGTCTTGTTAAATCCAAAAAAAAGAATTCTACTTTATTCCAAAAGAACGTCAAGCTTGGGAAAATCCTGCTATAAATATCTACAAGCCAAATTTATTATCCCCCTTACAACAAATGAACAAAACCCAACAAAAAACTCTTCTGCAATACTGCCTTAAAAAGTTGATAGTTCAACTGTTCAATTCATTACCTATCATGCTCACTAATATTTCTTCTCATGCAAAGATTGTAATTTAATCCACTAATGACTACAGAAGAGGTGCATAAACAGACAGTGAGAACATAAAAAAAAAAAGACTTTGGCATTTGAATTGCACAGAACATCAGGCATTCAGGATTAGGGAAACGGAGCACAACACCACTTGAAACAAACTAGGAAGCCATCTGTAACAAGTCATCTACATCGTGCAATAGGCAGGCTTCAGACCAAACTGTCACACTCGCTCACCCTAGCATATTCACCCACCCTATTTGAGTGAAAATTGACAGCATTTTTTTCCCTTCTCCTGCTCAGTAATTTTGCAGATAGTCCAAATGTTAGTTTCAATGATGAATTCTTCATATCTCACCTTACTTGTCTCCTCTCTGGAGGTGTTGGGTGGAGCAGGCGGTATTGTGCCTCCCATGCTTTTCAGCAAAATAAAGAAGAGAAAAAACAAAACAGTAAGATTATCAAAATAGTGACATGTATTTTATTGATTCAAATCCTGCTGATAATCTCAGCTTTTTGTTGTGACACAAAACACGATGATCCAATTCACTGTAAAACCAGCAAATAAAAAGCACACATCCACCACGCTTTTCTCAGTGTAACATAATGCACACTATGTCTGTTAGCTCTTTCACCTAGAACTCCACTGTGACTTGTACTCCTGCACATCCCACATCACCCACCCACCCTTTGTCACAGGGAAAAACTGCCTCCTTGGCTGAAATGGTTTTTCTCCTTAAAATGTAACTTACGTTTTAAGTCAAAACTAAATATTATTATTACAGATATTACTAAAATTAGAATTATTTTTGGAACAGAGGTCAAATGAGTTAAGAGAACCCTAATGGCCTGAAATGCTTATGCAATTAAAAAATTGCTGCCTGGAAAACAATTTCATTTCTCTTATGTATTGCAATATTCATGCCTTTCCTTAGCTGTAAGTTAAGGAGCATTCTCTGTATAGACAGCATTCTTTCAATATAGAATAAACTTCTATGTTATATTAACTTTGGTTAGCAGCCAGAAATAAGCATAGGCTGAATTCTCCAGCTGTTTCATATAACATCTAATCATACCTAATGGCAGGCTGCCACAAGGTCTACCATTCCCATCCATCCTCTGCCCCACGTTCCCCCGTACTGATAGTTTTCAATTGCTCTGGCCATACACACTCCAAAGAGGAAAAAAACATTTCTATCAACTCAACAGGCTCAACCAACTCCTTGGGACCCCACACAACTGGTTAGACGTGATGCAGGGGAGAGGAGAAGGAAGTGGGCAACAGGCAGGAGGAACTGGAAGGGTGCAGGACTATCTGCTTTCAGGAATTAGTGCAACATAAAACTATATCCTAAGGATGAGATCCTACAGCTTCTTAAGTCAGGCTGCTGCAGTCCCGCTCTCCCCTCTTTCCTCCCTCCTGTCACCAGCACCATCTCACAGTCAGGCCCCAAGCTGGCTGAAAACAAACCTGGATGGGGGGGATAGGATGGGGACAGGGACGAATTGGGGGAAGAGAGGGTAGAAGAGGGAAGAGGAGGTGGCAGGATTGACAGGTCCTGGCACAAGGCCCTGCAGCAAAAGGCAAGCAAACAGCACTACGCTACCTCTAGTTCACAAGGATAAACCGTCAAGAAAAAAACCCCACAAGTTACAAAAAACCGCATCTTCTGAAGCTATTGCAAAAATCTACACGTGTCCCTGGAATGTTGACATTACTTAACCTAAGTTATACTGCAAGGACTAAACAACTGCAGTCTGATAAATCAATATAGAGCTAGGCAAAAAACACAGTACATGTAGTAACTGTTCCTCCTAAATTTTTACCCTTGTAGGCTGACAATAGGGCATATTGTTCTCTACCAGTCTGTAGAAATCGAAGAGTTTTCCCTAGGACTATAGGGACTGCCTAGCGGAGCCTTGGAACCTCACTTCTGCTAGGAAACTACAAATTCTGAAGCATTTTAGTAGCGCTAATAGCTAATATCCAGGGTAACACAATCTTCACAAGTTAAGAAGATTTTTTTACTAATCTAACATCTAATGCTTGTTGGCAACACTTTTTTCTTTTCTTTTTTTTTTTTAAACAGTAAGACTCTTTCAAAGCCTGGCTTACTAGAAAAAGACTGAGAACCCTCTAATTCAAAAAGGTCAATGAGATTCCCAGCTTCCAATCATGTATTTAAGAACAGCTCAAGGTAAAAAAATGCAGGAATCAAATTCTTGAGCAATTCCAAATTATTGATCTCAAGATCAGCTGGTTTTAAGTCTGACAGCTTGAATCATCTCAAGGCTGAAACAACTCGGTCAGTCTCCTCTGCCTTCTTCACATCCCCCCTGAAAACTATCCAAGCTTAGAACAGTCTATGAGATATGTTTAACCAATATATATACACATTTTAAAATATGCTATTTCATGAACTACCAAGGCTAAACAGTTTCACTCCTAGTCCTTGAAAATGTTTTTGCTACCCAGTTATCCTCTATTGAATCTAGAGTTACAATCCCAGAACAATTCAAAACCAAGTTACTCTAAAATCATCCCTTAAAATACTATTTTATTACAATGATTGAATGCACAGCAAGGATATGCAAAGTTTGCAGTGTATTTAACCTCAGCGGTATACAGATATGAGACACCTGTAGGAAAAGGCAGGTACTGAGCTGTATAAATAGTGCACACACACACAAAAAGATTTTAAAATTAAACCTTTGTGCTAAAATAGAGTTGTGCAATACCAGTAACAACTCTTGGGAGCTGTCAGGACTCCATTGCAACAATGACTCCATACTTCCACTCATCACAATGATGAGAAGTGCTGCTTTTATGACTTGTTGGAAGAACTGCAACTGCTATTTCTGCATCCACTTTCGTCACTGACAGCAAAATTATCTTTAGAGAGAAACTGGATTACCAAGAATTCAAAAGGGTCAAAATCTATCTGAAAAAAACAACAACAAAAAAGGCAAAAAGCTCTGTTCATCAATTAGGGATTCTGTGCTTTACTTTTAAGGACTGCTATAGTTTTTTTGCTCAAATGCAGATTTTTGAAACATGTTCCCTTTAATGACTCATTTCATAACAATTCAAGTCAAAATATTTGTATTTTCATGCAATTATGAAGAAGCAGGCATGACTAAAAGGGATGTCAAAACACTTTCCAAACATAATCAATACACTAGTGTATGCTTTCTATACAGAGAGCATCTAGATAGAAATTAAATACAGCAGCTAGACAGAATAAAGGTTAGAAGATAACAAGTGCATGAAAACAGGTAAGACTTAAGGTTTCTGATGCAATATTAACAGCTAGTCAGAAATAAAGCATCCCATTCTGGCTTTACACACCTTCAGAATTACGCCACCAAAGAATGGAAGTAACCTAGGGTGAGGCACTGAAGTCTTTTACACAGTAGCAAAAGGAACCAAAGACCCGCAGCAGGATAAAATAGACATGCATCTCCTTCCTAGGCATACGTGCAGCTACTATCAGTACTGCAAAACCAAGTGAAGTTAAATAGGAGTGGTTTTACAACCACGCTAATATTCAGATGCATAAAAAAGCTTAAACATCACTGTAAAAAAACCCAAATAAACAGTTCATTGTAGCCATTTTCATTATATGCCATACTGTGAAATACCTATACTTATATATATCTGCACACAAAGCCCCACTAGTTTTTCAACTAATTACAACTAAGTACAAGTACAGCAGAAAGTACAATTAAAATACTTTCAATTAAAATTTAAAGCAAATTTTCTAAAACAAATCCCAGTTTGTCACTAGACGGAATCTTTTAACTTCCTCTTTCATAAAAGGTGCATCTGCAAGGATTTTCCTCACTTCTCAAGAGTCCTTTAGAGTAGCGAGGGTTGTAGGTACGAAAGCCAAGCAGAGGTACCCCAGCTGAATACAGGGGTTCTGTGGGTTCTCTGCCAGCAGCAAAGGACCTCAGCCCTTCCAACCTGGTGTTTCCGGGCACTGAGGGTGGAACCCAAGGATGGCTGTATATTGAGAAGCATCTGCTGTGACAGGCCACAGGTGCGCAGGCTATGTGCAGTGTAAATAGCACACATTTGAAGTGCCTCACAGGGGAGCAAGATTTCAACTACTCGATACATGAAACTTCAAGGAGCAAACCACCTTTTTGGCCAGGAACTATTCCACGTGTTAAACTGTCAGGTATTTTATGCTTTTGGGTACCAGGATGTAAATCAACGCCGCTCACCTCCCCGTAAACTCGGCTCCTTTTAAGACAAGCTAGCCAACTCTGCTGCATAATGCGAGAATTAGCTCGGTAAGTATTACTCTGGGGCTTCCCAGCCTGGAAGCTGAGACACTGAGATGGCCGGGGGGCAGGCTTTTGCAACGGGAATAGCCAGAGTTTAAAAAAAACAAAAACAAAAACAAAAACCACAAAACAAAACAAAAAATAACAAGTCTTTCTAACGCTCGAGTTGTAATCCCGGCGCGCCCTGCGGCGGGAAGGGAAGGGAGGGAAGGCGGCAGCGCACCGGAGCCGCTCCCC